AAGAGAGGTGCGACAGGGGTGTATTTTGTCTCCTATGCTCTTCAATCTCTATGCAGAGAACATTTTTGCAGAGGCACTCGAAGGCTCTGAGTGTGGAATAAAGGTAAACGGGTTTCCGATAAATAACATTTGTTACGCCGACGACACCGCGATAATAACAGACAACGAACATGATATGCAGTTGATGTTAAATAAAATAAACACTGTTGGAAAAATATATGGCTTGAAGATAAATGCTGGAAAAACTAAATAGTTTAGTATTAATATATGGTAATAAGAAAAAACGCCCTTTTAAGAATACAACTGCAAGTAGATAATGCTCCAATTGATCAAGTGAAAATATTTAAATACTTGGGAATGATGATAAATGACCAATGGGATCCTTAACAAGAGATAAAATGCTGTACCGAACAAGCAAGACAAGCTTTTATCAAATTTAAACCGCTACTATGTAACCGCAATCTTTTCTTTAATCTCCGCTACAGAATGGTTAAATACTATGTATGGTCCATATTGTTATACGGCATGGAAACATGGACGCTCTTCCGTTACTAAGTTGGAAGCCTTCGAAATGTAGATGTTGCTATACCGCATACCACGGACAGATAGGGTGAGAAGTCTTAAGAAAGGCAAATACTGAGAGAGAACTACTAAATTTAATCAAGGTATGAAAAATTGGATACCTCGGCCATATTCTGAGAGGAAAAAATATGCAATCCCTCAACTAATCATCCAGTGAAAGATTGAAGGCAAGAGAGAAGTAGGTCCCAAACAAATTTCATGGCTTTGAAATATAAAGAACTGGACAGGCATAAATATCACTGGCAATCTTTTACATGCCGCAAAAGACAGATGTCTGGCCTTAAGATAATTCGCCAACGCACTATAGGTGCACGGCACTATAAGAAGAAGGGCGTTAAGACAACGCAACGAACTGAGAAAAACATTATATAGACTTTATATGTCTGTGATAGATCACTATGGTCTGTCTTGTCTGTACATTGTTACCAAAAGAAAGTTTATTTTTTAGATGGCCTGGGGAAATATTTCAACAATGTGATTCCAAGATTTTAAAAGCAGGTTCATATCTTAGATATCAGCTGCTATTTGACGACATAGGCCTCCTTCATACTGCTTATGTGGTTATTCCATTTTTTTTTCTATTTTGTGTCCATTTATTTATCCACTGTACATTACATTTTCTTCCAATGTCTTCACTTCTCTTGCGATCTCTCAGCATATTTCCTGTAATTCTTCTCAGTACTCTTACCCAGTCTAAGCCAGTCTTACACTGACTTTATAAATTCTTGACTTCATCTCAGTGTTAATGTGTCTGTTTCGCCATATAATGTTATTAAGGCATCCTGCCAGTATATTTGCTTTTTGTACTTAATCTCTTCTTTGTCCAGCTCTCCATATCTGGACAGTATAATTCCCAGATATTTTATTTCCATTACTTGTTCAATACTGATGCCATCAATTTATATTTTACATTTGGTTGGTTCTTTGCTGACTACTATTGTTTTAGTTTTCTGGGATGAGATAGTCATATTAAATTCTTTTGCTCTCATGTGAAATTATTAACGGTATAAATTAAAACGATATATATATATGTACATTATTACATTCAGTGTAATATTGGAAGAGTTGATAAAATAAGTAAAAATAATACCACATAGGAAACAAACACTTAAGGCTAGTATGCCTATGCAGATGACACAGTTCTGATAGCAGAGAAAGAAAATTATATACACAGATAATGTTACATGAGTCCAATACTAAGGCCAAATAATTGGACATCAAAATATTATCAAAAAAAAAAACAAGTCTAGGAGTATCAAAATAATGAATACAGTGTAAAATTAATGTTGAAAACTAGATGGTACAACAAATAATGAAATTTAAATACATTTGAATCTAATTATCTGGTGACAACAGTACTGAGGAAGTAGTTAGGGAACAAGTGATAAAAGCAAGCAGCACACCAGAATGCTGCAATCTGTAACCTGGGCAAGATTGAAAGCAAAAATGAAACACACACACCTAAATAGAATGACAAAGCAAAGTAGTGATTTTACCAGAGGAAGTATATCTGGAATGATAATATTTTAAAAGAAAAACAGGCAACATTCAAGTAAAACTATATACCTATATAATGCATTTTTAAACTAGAAAAATGCCTATAATTTTGTATATTTGATTTCACTATTTTTTCTTTATACCATAAAATGTCATTTGACCTATTTGCATAATGAAGAGCTTATAATAATGACAGCTACTCTCTGAATATATTATTTACAGTGTCTTATTATCTGCAATACATATATTCATTCTGAACCTTTAAATAGCTTTTTGCAAAAAATCTATATATTTACTTTGAGAATAGATTTCATCTCACAATTTTATTGAATACACTTCAGTTTTATCCAAAAACTTTATTAATAAATTTATACATAAATCTTTATACATAAGAAACCGTCCTCACGATGCGAAGTTACGACGTTTCGGTCCTGAATCGAACGTAGTACCGCCAATAATAAGATCCCTCCATTTAATAAAACCTAAGGAAATATATAATTGTAACTTAACATTGCTAAAGAAATAAAAGATAAAATTAATATTAAAATTATTATAAATAAGTTTTAAAAGTTTATAAAAAAATTGTCCAAAAATAAAGAAAAAACTATATAATTGGCGCATTTGGCAGTAGGTTATTCGGGATCGATACGTGAAACAAAGTATCGATGTAACGGTGAATCGAACTTAATAACTTTGGAGTGATTACGGAGTGAGTTCTCCAATTTCAGAGTTTCCGTCCATAGAGAACCATACAACTACCTATATTTGGGAAATTAGATCTTCCAGTTCTACAAGACGATTTATTGGCGGAGGCATTGCTGAACATTCAGGCAGAATTCTCTAGTGGTACGACATCTTACCTTATTTTTATGTAAGTGCATTTTGTTTATGTATCTATTTCTTAATATGCTTCAACTGACTGGCAAGTATGATGGGGTTTTAAATTTTGTTTTCAATGGAATAATGAATTTTGTATTTTCTTTATAAAGCTTCTCTCATAAAATCAGTTATTTTTTTAAAAATAGCATAACGTCATTTGAGGTATGTCTGCAATTAGTACAAATGCTCCTTCATCTGCAGATGCCTGTCTAAGTATTGTGCATAGTTTAATGTGTCATAGACAAGGCGGAGAAAGTGAAGGTTTCGCAAAGAGAGCTATAGAATCATTGGTAAAAAAATTGAAAGAAAAACGGGATGAATTAGATTCGTTGATTACTGCTATAACTACTAGTGGTGCTCATCCCAGTAAATGTGTAACTATTCAAAGAACTTTAGATGGTAGGTTACAAGTTGCAGGTAGAAAAGGATTCCCTCATGTCATATATGCACGAATATGGAGGTGGCCAGATTTACACAAAAACGAATTAAAGCATGTTAAATATTGCCAATTTGCATTTGACTTGAAATGCGATTCAGTTTGTGTAAATCCATATCATTATGAGAGAGTTGTTTCTCCAGGAATTGATCTCTCAGGTTTAACACTTCAATCAGGAACACCAAGACTGGTAAAAGATGAATACACACCTGGAGTTGTTCCCGGAAACAGTATGGACATTGATGCAGATATTGGTATTAAATTCTCACAAACTGTACAACATCACCCACCACAGCAAAATTTTACATTGAGTGGACTGCAATCACCTACAAATCAAAACCAAATACAACAAACCATAGGACAAGAACCTATTCCTCAAAGCTTAGCAAATAATTCTCCAGTCTCATGTCATATTCCAAAAAACGAATTTAGCAACACAAACAGTACAAAAGTAGTTGCTTCAAATACTAATGGTACAGTTTTAACCACTCAGTCAATAAATACAATCGGACAAAATTTCACTGTTGCCGGTGGGTCTTGGAATACTTCAAGTACTTTAACATACACAAAAACAATGCAACCACCAGACAATAGAAGTCACACTGCTTACTGGGTTACTTCACCTGGTCAACTAAATTCCGATGTTAACATAGGGGGTTTATTATCCACGCAACCTGCACCCGAATACTGGTGTTCTGTAGCATATTTTGAGTTAGACACTCAAGTTGGAGAAACATTCAAAGTGCCATCAAATTGCCCAAATGTCACTGTGGATGGATATGTCGATCCTTCAGGAGGAAATAGATTTTGTCTCGGTGCATTAAGTAATGTGCACCGAACTGAACATAGTGAAAGAGCGAGACTTCATATTGGTAAAGGCGTACAATTGGATCTCAGAGGGGAAGGAGATGTGTGGTTAAGATGTTTAAGTGATCATTCAGTTTTTGTACAAAGTTATTATTTGGATAGAGAGGCGGGAAGACAACCAGGAGATGCTGTTCATAAAATTTATCCTGGCGCTTACATTAAAGTATTCGATTTAAGACAATGCCATCATCAAATGACCACACAAGCTGCCACGGCACAAGCAGCTGCTGCAGCACAAGCTGCAGCCGTTGCGGGGCATATTCCAGGACCACATTCGGTGGGTGGTATTGCGCCAGCTATAAGTTTATCCGCCGCAAGTGGCATTGGAGTGGATGATTTACGGCGGCTTTGTATTTTAAGGCTAAGTTTTGTAAAAGGTTGGGGACCAGATTATCCTCGCCAATCGATAAAAGAAACTCCATGTTGGATAGAAGTACACCTTCATCGAGCTTTACAGCTTCTTGATGAAGTTCTTCATACAATGCCAATTGATGGACCGAGACATTAAAGTGATCATTACATTGATATTTTGTCTAACCTTTTCCCATTTTTTTTTTTGATAAATTAGATCAGGAATAGTAGAAATTACAGGGAACATCGAAAACGAGAGAGTTTTGGAAACATTAGGCGACGTATTAAAATATTTGTTAAAAGGTATAGAACATTAATAGAACATGGTGCATGAAGTGGTCCAGTACATTGATGGTAAATATATAGAACGTCAATAGAACATGATACGAAATGGTGTAGTACATTGAAGTACAGTTACTTCAATAAAACAACTCTTATTTACAAATAGTTTCATGTTTGTTATTGTCGCACAGTTGATCCACATGTACAAATTTTGAATTATTAGTTTCTTTTTTTCTCCGGGAAGAATTTTCTGTTTTTTTTTAAGTTTCTGGAAAAAAACTATTAAGTTTCAGGCACGTTTCGGCTTTCAGGTCTTAATTGATATAATTTTCAAATTACAGAATGATTCACTAAATACACTATACACACATCTATAGTCTGTCGGTAGAAGTATTAGACTTAATTAACAGCCAAACTTTTGGAATTTGAAGAACAAAGTGGGCGCTGATAGATTAAAGGCAATTCATGTCCTTCCAAGTTTAAAAATACTTGAATGCTTGATGTTTTGTTGAATCTATCTATGATGCAACTCGTCAATATTTATGATTGTATCCATTGAATGCTTTTTTAGTTAATAAAATTATATTTAAACTTCAAATACATTGTGTTGAAAATTTTGGTCGTATTTAACCCCCTCTTATGGTCAAGATCAGTTTAAAGCAACAGTTTATCTTAAACAAATGCACTTTACATCAGAAGACGGTAATTGTCCAAAAATAAAACCACGATTTTACTTTTCCAAATACTTAAAAAGTGAAAGCCTTTTACGCCTTGCTAATATTATTAACCTGTGAACAACTTCTGTAAAACTAAAAAAATAGTTGCTGTAATCAAGTGATACTTCAAAATACTGCAACTAGCAAATGCAGATGAACTAAGAAAACTACGACCTTTTTAAAATAAGAACTATTCAGTATTCAATAAAGAACATTTAGTGTTGGGAATTATCAGAATACCCATGTTAAGGATGGTCTGTCTAACCTCACTTTTGTATGATAAACAAATGCGAGGTATTGAGACATTCTGCTCAAAAGTTTAAGATGTACTGCGATAACGCCGTTTTCAGTGTTTGCCGATTTGAAGTTTTTGATGCTGATGTATATACTGTATTAGAAATTTGAAATGTTTATTAATGTGAAAAATAATTTTACAAATAAAACAATACCATTATAGTTATGTAGCAGTAGTTTGTCACAGTCACATTTTATTAGTTATTGTATTTACTATTGTGTTTTGTATATATATTTATACATAGATCTATAAATTTTATAACTTTCGCAATAAATTTGATTTTTACAAACGCTTCATTTGTTTCGTTTATGTTATTTAAGTAAAATATGGATAGGGTTTTAATGGACAATTTATGCCAAGAAATTCTTCTACACGGAAATTCAGTATATTCCTTTTCTATTTGGTCTGTCTCTGCTTTAGCGTTATGTAAATTACAAGTGAGACACTGATCTTTTTTCGGTGCAAAAAGCCGATATTAAACTCAGTATTAAATATGTGTCTGTACTGACTTTTCGATGGCTGGTTTATCGCATGGGTGATTGATTCTAACTCCATTCAGTATACAGTGAATACAATTTGGGAAACATTAAAGAATTAACAAAATATATCTTAGTTGTTCTTTTTCTTGCGTAGTGGGATTCTTCGGCAGGAATAGAGTTTATATGCACAGGAATGGAATTTTTAATATTTTCATCTACAGCATATGATCTGTTTTTATGGCGACCACGCATATCTCCATGTATACAGCCTCTACTTTCTTGACTATCAATTTTTTTGAATAGCGTAGTTAACCACATATCTGTTATCTTAAATGTGTCCAAAAATGTTTTTTTATAAGCTTGGAATCGGTATTCTGCTAACTGCAAATTATATTCATATGTTCAGTTTCTTCTGCACTCTCTTAATTTTGCTAGCTTTCTCTCTTGTTTGAGAACATATCTATATAAATATTCGCTCTGTTTATTCTGATCAGCCATTTCAAAATAATGATTAAATAAATTGAGTTCTTTTCAGATAATTTCGATTTACATTTTCTGTTACATGTATCGTTATCGTTACATCCAGGTCTCAATTCTCTCATTCTCACATTTTCTCATTCTCACATTTTCTCATTTTCGTTAATTTTTCAGATTTGCTAGTATATTCTTGGCCAGAGTTCCTCAGTTTCTTCAAGGCATTAATTTTCCGTACACTTGAATCCCCGTGTCTCTTCCCTTGTTCAGCGATCATCTTCCCCACAAAATGTTATGTATTGGATATAAAATCATGGTAAATTGACATATCATAGTAATATTCTACTACGTTGCTTTCTTGTATCACAACTTACAACGAAGTTGTAAAAACTACTTGTACAATTTTTGGAGAAAAACATTGTATATAATGTTACAATGTTTTTATAAAAAATATTCATCAATAATAAAATTTTTCAATATTAGTAACAATGGTTACAACGTTTTTTCCACCAAGTGATTCAAAATTTACAATGAAGTAATTTTTTTAAATAACTTTATATTTACATAAGATATGTTAAAGGCTGTTAGACCACAATAAAGGTTGTCCCTAAATACTGCATAGTTGAAAAACATTGGAAGTAGGGTTACAGTGTTATTCATATCAGGTGTCGATACCACCTCAATGCTTTATTAGGGTATTTCTAAATACAGCGTCAATGTCCGTTTTCCTCGGGAAATGGTATCCATCGTTCATTGGTAATCGTAGGATACTATTTATTTTTATTTCCTAGTCTTTTTCTCTCAAGGGACTACGACTAGAGCTGTTAGCAATGATTTAATGTCAAGAAAAACCGTTAACGTGTGAATATAATAGTCGCCAGTAACATCCAGTTTGACTGAATTAATTTGATACTATTTCTGTTGTACCTACGATTTATAGAAGATATCGTCATTGGCTAATTCCAGTACGATGTCATACTGTCCAACAAAAATATATTCGACAAATTTTTTTGAGTCTTCACGCAGATGGGAAGCGATCAACTAGAACATCCCTATCGTTTGAGTAATCGTTTCTTTTACACAATGAAGGCATTTAGTTTCACACAAGCACGAGTGGAAGGTTATCGTGGATGTATCAACTAATCGTAGACGCTCCGAGGAAAATTGTACCCTAGAAGTGTTTTAAATTATTAAACAAACAGTATTTATTAGTATAGTAGCATATTAATTATTCCAATCTATTCACATATTCCTATTATAAAATCTGGTTTCGTGATTATCGTGATATTATAAATCCTTTCATAAAATCGTGATTCGTTCTTTTACTACAGTATTTTCTCGTGGATTCTATTTGACACTAGGTTTGAAATACATGTGGAATTTATAAAGGCATAATAACTTAGTCTAGCCCGCGTATTATCACAAATCGGAACAACGCAAAATAGAACTGAACGGAATGACTTCGATTGCTGATTGAGTTAATTTTTTCATTCGTCTTCACACACTCATCCACTATTCAATGGAGAATTTACGAAAACGCGCGACACACACACACAAAATATGTTCAGATTATTTTTTGAACGAAACAGAATCAAATAACTAGTAATATATTGGTGTTATCAATATTGTTGTTTTTGTAATTAATCATTTGTGATTTTCTACATTGTAAATGTGATTTATTTGCAAAAAAGCTAAAAATCAACTAATAGCGTTATTATGCGGAATGCTGTTCAACATGTGCGTTTGTTTAATCCAGACGTCAGAGATGTCATTCTACTTTTACTAATAAATTAACCTACAAATAAAATTTCTATTGGAATTTTGCGCTAAAGTGCGGAGATTCATAGTTTCCACTTCGATCAATCCATTACGTAATAACTCTACATTGAGCTTGGTTAGATATAAAAAGAACGTTTAAAGTATGCAGGATAAATATTCGAATAATACAAAAAAATATCACTAAAGTCCAGTCTGCATTGCAAAGATTTGGCCTCAAAAAATCATATGAACAAGTAGAATTTGTTAAGAATGTCAATTCGGTGACCCCAAAAAAGATGTAAAAAAGTTTACCACTCCTACCCCCGAGCTTCCCCCTAAAACGAGTCCTTACGAAAGGGGATGAGAAACGGAAAAAATCGATTAACCAATAATCTGTACGCCGTAGAAAAAAAGTTCCAAATAAAAAATGTAGCTGAGATAATTCTGAACAAAAATGTTTGTTAGCACATTTTGTGTAGAATGAACCGTTTTCTCAGAAACAACGCTTGAAGCGACCGGCGATTTTGAATGTCAGTTCCGCGCGCGAAATCAATTTTTAATTAAAATTTGTATCAACTCGACGGTAAAAATTCGATATCTTTTGATCAGAGTGCCTTATCGACAAAAATCAAAATGCTTTTTAAATGAAGTCAGTTTCTATCAATGTGTTTAATATAAACGTTGCATGATTTTTGCTATTTTGTACGATTCTCGTGAGATCAATAAACTTGTATCACTTTCGTTGGCCGGTCACAATAGAATTTTCAAATATGAGGCATTTGAAATATGCTAAAAAAACCAAGAATTTAAACTTTTATATTACAAACGATCGCACGTCACGGGAAATGCCTCTACGAAGACGGTATTGGGTGTTTGTTTGTAGTTGAAGTTGTCTAGTTTTGAAAAGTGTGCTTGTCTAGTTGAAAAGAAGCAGTTTTTAAACTTTTTAGATTTTTTAGAGTTTTTTGTGCATATTCATTGTTTTTTCGTTTAACGGAATATAATGAAAATTGCATCTGTTTTTAATTACCTTTCATAAATGCGAAATTTATTTTTGAATATTTCGGTTTCTTAACTCTCATATTGCTGTTCACACTTTTGCATATATATATATATATATATCATCAGTCGAACTGCTTTACATTTTTTCATTTCTTGTAGTACTTGACTAACTTCCTCGTTTATCGCTGTTACTGTCTTTTTACAATCGCCCTTCGGTATACTTTTCGTGCTGTTTTATTGTAGAACACGGTTAGTCTTAGGACAGGACATACAGTTACTAATAAAAAAATGTTCTTGTGGTATTTACAACTTTTGATGATAGACAACGTAAGACCAAGATAACGTACCACGCAATTTATAGGACAATGTGAGTGTTAAATTATATTATAAATATTTTAGTAATTATTTTTCATGGCCTCGTTAATGATATATGTTCGAAAGGGGGGACTCTGTGATAAAACCTTGCGTTTTGTAGGACAAATATTTTTTCAACCAATTTAGAAAATTATCTTGAGAATAAACAAGAAAAAAACCGTTAGAAATAAATTTTTGAGAATCGTCAAATCAACTATTCTATCCCTGCTACCCTGTTAGCTACCACAAATTCAAATTGTTATAAGGACAAAAGTTAAGCGTCTCATCAACATGAAGCTACTCACGAAAAATTAGCTTGTTAGTAATAAATATTGAAAATGGGCCTCGGATCCCTGACTAGATGGGTCCTTAATAGCAAGAGCAACTATCGAGGACTCATAGAGAGGCCTTGTCTCGGGTTAGCAACCTCTGGGAATCTTGCGTTACTATGAAGTAAAATTATTTAAAACAACGTAATTCAAATTTATCAACAAATATGCAATTAACACAGTTAACATCATTTAAAGCAGAGCTTCCCAAATGGTGGGTTGCAACCTGGTACCGGGCCACGAAAGCAAGTAGCCGGGTCGCCTCGCCTCACCATTTCACATCTTGATTTTTAAGGCCGCGCACTGACTGACGCCACCGCTTTTAAGTTAACCTCCCACTACCACATCCACACAATTACAAATTTTCGTCTGCTGCACCCTGCACCCCTGCTTCTTTTATTCCATTCAGTTTAAGCTTAGTTTCAAGCCAGATAGCTCGTATTTTTCGTGCATATTGATTACGTTGAATTTGACGATGGATAAATGTGTTATAAAACAAAGTACAAGTTCTAAGACTTGCACAAACAGACCATCGAGTGATCTACAGTCGGGTACAAGTTCTAAGAGCGACAATAATAATGTGTCGAGTAATATCCATGAAGAGAAAGGTACGAGTGGTAATTACAAGAGAGAATTAATAGCTAACAAATAGTAGCATCTCGGATACTTATGTGATAAAAAGCAGGAAAAGCAAGTGAATTCGCTGGCTCTATCAAATAACAGTGAAGCGTAGGATTGTGGAGATGGCAGATAATATTGAAGAAACTACTATAGGTCACTTAAAGGAGTCTAACTATTTTTCCTTGCAAGTTGATGAAAGTACAGACATATCAGATGATGCTAATCTAATGTGTTTTGTAAAATACGATTTTGAAAATATGTACTATTCACGAA